CGGATGTCTCACGATCAGTCTTCAATTTTTTGGCAAAATGGAACTAATATTCTCGTCAGAAAGTTCTACTTTTTCGGCAGTATGTCGATTTTTGGGCAGTATTTTCTTCTTGCTTCGATCTTTGTGAAAAAATCCGAATCGACGAGCTTCCCGAGAACCTTTACATCTGTTATCCATTTTCCTCAGAATATTTATTCGCAGACAAAAACTCACTGTAACACAGTTGTACGAACGGCAAGCTACTGACGAAACGCGTCCAATTTCTGGCAAAGAATAAAGGTCGTGTGATATTTCCGTTATACCTGGACCCGAGCACGCCCGAAAACACAATAGAATCGTAAAACAGATCTAGATACGCTCTCTTCGAAGGGTCGCTTGCCGCTACCTGCCTCTCGGCTCGGCCGCAAAACAGGCGGCATGGCGCGCTCTCGGAGACGGTTCACTCTCTCGGCTGTAACTTCGTTATATATCGAGATATTGACTTGCAATTTTCACCAGATATTCCTGAGACCTCAAGCTTCAAGAAAATGCAAAAAAATCGATTTTTTCGACCATGCTAGGTGTATATCTCCCCTTAATGGCAATAAACTCATGTTAATTTTTTATTGGAAGATACTAGATGTTTCTCAGAAACATCCAATACATGATTTATATTATTTTAATTCGTAATACAAATTAAATAAAATACTTTTAATTCAATCGCTCGTGATTTCTCTTCTCCCAACATTATACATCAAAAATACATACCTACGATTCCCTAAGCGAAGCAAACCAATGAAAATGCTTATTGAAAAGTATGTATCACACTATAAATGCGTAAAGAATTACATAGTGATAGGAAAAGTGCCAATTATCACGTTTCATAATTCATACAATTTATTTCAAGTTAAAGGATGAGAAATAGTTTTTCATATTATATAATATTGATATTGTTTGTCAATACATTTATTTAAAAGTTTACGCAAAAACGAAATTTACTTTTGGTTCTAATCACAATTTTTCTCATAATCATGGAATAAAATATTTTATAAATTAACTTTATTACAACCAAATTAATCTTTATCATTTACTTGAACACAAATCAGAGTTAGTACAAAATATGTATAATAAAACGCTATTAGATTAAGAATTGGCCAATCAATGGACGATCAATGTACAATCAATGTTACAGTATAATTATTTAAAAACATACCATATTAAAAGTTTAGTAATTTAATAATCTCAATTACAATGTGGCAAACAGAATTATTGAGCAGTAATCTCATCGTGTAGGTAGTGTTTTAACTTCCACATTAGGTCGGGGAAGACATTTAATATATTAACACAATTATAAAGTTGCTACGTCCTACTGTAAGACAACAATATTCATCAAGGAGCCCCACACATGCGCGTACACACACGCGCGCGTGCGCGCGCACTCACACTCAAGTATTATTTTTCTAATAATGAAGGTATATATAATATCATTTTTATGATATTATAATGTACATAAAAACAAGATTTCAAGATTTCAAATAAAGATGATATCAATACATCGTATGAATTAACAAAATTATTTGTGAATGATTTATTGCGCACCTTCGTTCGCGCTGACTCTCATTAGCCCAGATTTAGGTTGTTTTTGTTATTATAATATGCAATTTAAAATGCTAATTATGCCTTGAAGTTTTCTCGATTGGACCGTTAATTTATTATTTTATTGCAAAGCGGAGTTGTTATTGAAAACTAAGATAAAAATATGTCTAAAGAAATACAAATTTAGATATTGTGATTTCAAATAAATTCAATAAAATTCAACAGTTCTGCTTTAAATAAGAATAGCGCAATAGCCAATATATAAAATGTTGGAACAACACCATTGGTATGAATTTATAAACAATAAGATTAAAAGACAGAGAGAGAGAGAGAGAGAGAGAGAGAACAGATATGGAAAGAAAAAGAGACTTCTTGCAAAATATTGGCAATCCGTTTCAGACTGAATTGGCTTATGCAGTTCGTTGAATGATGTGAATTCCGCTATCTGTGTGCACAGGTGATGACAACTCGCCAACTTTCAGCGCGAATGCTGCCTGTTCGAAGGGTTTCTGCATTGCACCCCGACTGAAAGGTCCGAGATCACCGCCACGCTTTGCCGAACTGCAATCACTGTATTTGGAGGCAAGTTCAGCGAACGTCGCTTTACCAGATGCAATTTGTTCTCTATAAGCTGTTAAAAAGATATTTTTGTAGTAATCACAGCTGAAAGGTGTTAAATATTTCAGTGTTATTAGCAGTTATTGCGCAAAATTCAAATTATTTCAGATATATTTTCCACTTTGTACTAATATTAGAAATTTTAAGTGAAAAAATATTCCATCTTAATATGGACAAAATCTATGAAAAACGTATTTAATCCCAAGACAACTAGAAAAAAATCACAATATTGCATTACTTTTTTAAAGAGAAGTCTCCAAATAGTAACAACAATAAATAAATTTAAATAATAAATTTTATTGTTTTTGTAGTAAAAATTAAACAAGTTTATCACTTCCTGTATAAAAATTACAATTGTAATAAAAAAATAGTTTAGAAACTTTGCTCTCTGAGCAGGTACAATGAAACAAACATAGAAACAACAGATAGAAATATTCTACATGAACAATGAAATAATAAATAATTTTTAGACAAAAGATTGTAAAGCTGTAGACATACATTTAACCAAATCAAGAGCTTCTTCTTTTGACCTAGTAATATTCTCCTCTCGCCAGGAAGAAGGTCGTCGAGAGCCTGAATGTTTTACAAGTAGATGAGAACATTGCACTTCTTCAGGTCCATCTGCCTTGCCATTGCCAGATGGATCGGCAGGTTTATCTGGCCTATCCCACTGACTTTCCTTGGTATAAATATTTAAATAATAGTGTTGACCTATAATAATTTTATTCATTTCAGAAACCAAAATACTAACATTAATAAACTTAAGTAGTTTTTTATCACTATTGTGCTTTATCAGCTCTATGATTTCACATAAAGCAAAACTTAATATCAAACATTTTAAATTCAATGAATTATGATGAGTTATGATCATATTCAAGAAAACTGAGGATCAATTACAATTTTTAAAGAAAATCTTAGATTAGAAATAGAAAGAAATTAGACTAAACTAGAATCATTTTCTCCCATTATACACTCCCATCCAAAAAATTGGAAACACTTTAAAAATTTTAAGATTATTTATTTATATATTCATACTAATGTATGTTATGTTTTTACAATAATTCTTTAGATCTAATAACTATTATTAAATCTGAAGAATTATTGCTAAAAGAACATCTTATTATGGATAATAATCTAAAAGAACTTTTCAAACTTTTATGACCTGGGGTAAATTGATGCAGAAACAATAAAAGCAATTGTGTACTGAATTTTTGAAGTTTATACATGATTAATAAAACAATCAATTCGCTGAAATTGAAATCAACAAACCGATAGACAGTGTTGATAAAAATCAATGGATAATGAGTACGGGATATTTTCTAGTAGTTTTTCAGCAAAATCTTGAGGTAAGATCCAATCATCTCCAGCACCCAGCACACTATTCGATCTTTTGTCTCTAACCGGGGTTCTATAATGAGTCGGTAATTGGAAGTCCTAAAGCGGTCCTAAATCTTAATCGGTAAAGTTGGCCAATAGCCAACTTGTACAACTAATTGTAAGGTGATTCTATAATGAATAGGTAGTCTGTAGTCCTACAGCCCGTATCAGATTATCGACTCTTCAGAATGACCAAATTGCTAATTCTGACTGCCGATCAATAATGGACCAAATACATTGAATCAGTTTTATTGTAATTGGTTAATTATTGATTGGCAGATAGAACTAGCAGTCGGGTCAGTCTGTAATCGATAGTCTGATACGAGCTTAAGTCTTATCAGTGAATCGATGAAGTTGGCCAACAGCCAACTTATATAACTAAAACTACCAATTTTCTCAAGACAATTTTCTCTAGTCAAATTTGATTTTATTCCTTCCCATTAGTCGAACTAAACGACTTGCTGTATAATCAACAACTTGTAGATGTATATCAAATCATATATCAAATTCAGCAAACTGCACTAGTGCGTACTGAGTGCAAACTTTTTCAGTGCCACATATTCGGCTTGTGCGCATTGTATCAGTGCGTTCGGATTATCATATTCGGCAAATAAAAACTGACTCAGTGTAATAAATTTATATTTGGACCAATCAAATGAACTAAACGAATTCAAAAAATATTGCACTGACGTTTCTGACAGTGCAATTTGGCATAGCACCAGTGGTTCTACACTTACACCATAGACCTGTTCTTTCTTCCTTTTCTCTCTAGGACGAAAGAAGAGGAAGGAAGATGAACTAGTGCAAAAGTTCAGCCAAAAAGAACAGACCTCATGTTAGGGCAGCATCAGAGCAGAGTCTGTAAATTCGTCAATAGTTATCCATTATGGTTAAGATTGAATAAAACTAAAATCTCTGACTATACTCATCGTAGAATCAGCTTAACTGATTAATAAAACTTCTGACTTCTAACTATCGACTCTTTATAGAACCCGGTAAAAGATTCGCATCAACTACGATCGACTACATACGTAATACAAAAACTTGTCGAGAAAACATCGAGGAGTATCGGACACTTCTCTTGGCCACTGTGAATTGATTAGCATCGGCGAAATATCAGTGAAATGTTATACGTCGAGGTGCCCGTAATCTCGCTCCGAGAGCAAAGCGCGGCTATGAGATCGTGGATTCCACGATGCCCCGTGTTGAGACTCGCGTCTTAACAAGATCGCCGTTCGTGGGGTTGCGACTGCAAAAATCGTCGGTTTCGACGTACCAGTCGATCTGCTGAGGCGTTTCTCCCATCCTGCTGGTAGTTCCTCGTCCGCCATTATCGTCGTAGTATACTTTCGGACTGTGTTTTGCTGTTCTCTTCGCTAGCACTCTCTACGTCAAACCTTTATAGCGTTTTCCACTGGGAAAACTGGTGCAACACTGGGGCGCACTGAGTGCAATTGTGTTGTTCCACTGTGAAAACTAGTTCAGTGTTTAATGTTCCATTGATAAAATTGGTGCAAAAAACTTGCACTGAGTTCAACTTTTGCTCCACTGTCTTTGAAGTCAGTAGAGACCAGTGTAAGTTGAAATTGAGGTTGTGTTCGTGCTAAGGTATGATATTATGTTATGATATGATATTACATTATTGTAATTAATGTTATAACAATGACATTGTTTAGTTCCAATGTTTCTAATAATAGCTATGCGATGATATTTTGACATTTAAAATTCTTTAAATGTAAAAATTTAATTTAAAAAAATGTTTTAAATAAATAAATGAATCAGAATATTATAAAATAAGTAATTTAAGTTCGAACATAGTTATATTTTAGGGGTGTTATAAAATGAATGTCAATAAAATGGATGTCTAATATGTTCCATTGAACCGCACTAAACCTGCACTATTACTGCACTACTGGGCTGCGTTCAGGAATTACACCCAGATAACTCTAAGCTATAGATTACGTTACGTATATTATAGCAAAAATGCACTCTAGAGTTATCTAGGCATAATTCCTGAACGCAGCCCTGCAGTTTCCATCTAAACCTAGCACAGCGCTAGTGCTGCACCAGTTTTCCCAGTGGAAAACGCTATTAGACATAGTAAAGGCCGTTCTACAATAAGTTGCAAACACCCCGTTGCCAGTAGCAAAGGTTGGCAACTGGGAGGGCTCCGATTGCACACATCGCATATTGCACACATGTATCGCTGATTGGCCAATTTAAAAATAAAATAATCTCATTGGCAAAATAGTAAAAAATTACTAGGCATTAGTTGATATGAGTGGTGTGTACAATCAGAACTGTAGGCAAACGGGATCCTCCCTTGGCAACTACTAGTTGCTAGAGTCCTAGATTTATCAGAGAGGCGCAACCAGCTTAAGGGTGCTTTCCAGCAAGGGACACAGTCAGACACAGTGTAACACAGTGAATCATACGTCCTTGTTGTTTGCTTACGTTAAACAAGGATGAAACGATTCACTGTGTTACACTGTGTTTGATTGTGTCCTTGCTGGAAAGCACCCTAAGTCAGTATGACAAAGGTGTTAAGGAGAGTACTAAACATGGCCGTCATGCTATGAAACAGTGATGCACATCTGGCTCCCGGGCAACACGAGAATCATCCCC